TATTTTATATTAATTTATTAAAATTTTATAAAATATTTAAATTTTTGTTTAATTAAATAATTTTTTTTTTTTTTTAAGAATTCATTAATTGTGCCATCTTGTGTGAAAATGTAAAATTAAAAATTATATATACGCGAAAAGATGGTATTATTGTAAGATATTGTATGGGAAAGACGTGTAATAAAAAGAATTATGAAAATATATCTGCGAATAAAGTACAACAGTGTGAATAAACATGTAAAATCGATCTGTGAAGAAACCCGTGAACTAGATCTGTGAAATAGATACGTGAGTGAAGAAGTTGGCGAGAACTGTATAGAAAGAGACATATGAAATGGCAATGTGACAAAAAAAACTATGAAAAGATCTGTAAAATATCTACAAAAATAACTATGGAAGGGTTTTGTGATGCGGAACTGAAAGCTGTTGTTAACTAGCCTATACACAGACTTGAAATGATACATTTGTATACATTAAAAAACACCCATAAAATTTAGAATAAAACGGATATAGTCTATTAAATCTGTAAATAAAACTTTTTAAAATGTCCACAGAAAAAGTTTTTAAATTCATAATTATAAGGATGAGTCAAACTTATATAGTACAAGTCAACCCCCCTATAACACTATTGATAATTCCGTTTTATATGAATTCCATGTTGTACGAGTCACTTAGATTTTACAAATACGTGTGCCGAGCTGTGAACGGCTCACGTATTCGTAAAATCTAAGTGACTCGTACAACATGGAATTCATATAAAACGGAATAATCAACAGTGTTATAGGGGGTCGACTGGTATATTTTTCTGTGTGTAGATTTAACTGTACAAAATATACCCTTCTTTTTTTAAATTCTCTTCTCTTTGCGAGCATTTAGTAATGCCTTTTATCAATGCCCATCATAGGTTTGACCAAGCTTACAATAGGATAAATGGGAGGAACGAGATAAATTGGACTGATGGCAACACAAGGACGATCTGTCGAGGAGGTGCATCCCTATATAAATTGGTCCCTATTTAGGTGTTAAATGTACGAAGAATACCCGAAAAATTCCACGTTGATCAGGCACGAACTCGCGGTCAACTACTATTGTTCGATGGTTTTATCCACTCACTTTTGGACCATGGAATGGGGTTTTCTTCTTTGATTTATTCCAAATTCGAGAGTGATCTAACACCTTCAGAGGTAGAACCACTTCGAATGTCTAAAATAAAATTAAATATGTATAAAAGAAAAACTTTATTGAAGAATCAACTATAAGTCTTTATCATAAAATATATAAAAGTTTGTAAAAAACAGATGTTAAAATATAAAAAAAAAATTGCTGAGACAAACAGAAAGATAAATTTTATATATTGAAATGTTAATAAAAAAATGTCGTGAATGTTTAAAACTATTCAAGGAAATTTATTATAAAAGCTTTGTGTAAAGGATCAGAGAATAATAAAATTACATACAAACTTAACGACGTGAAAAGTGATTCTTGAATAAAATTAAAATGTAATGTATAGTTTAAAATTAATTATAAAGTACAGAAATAAATTTTAAATTGATTTTAATTTATCCATAGAAAGATTTAACATTTAAATTTTATCGAATATCCTTTTGAAATTATCTACTAAAGAGGAACAATTTTGTGTAGTTGAACTAATTATAGAAAACAAAGGAAAAATACTTTTCTATTAAATAAATCAAGGAGAAAATTACTTCAAAAGACAGAATTTAACATTGTCTTAACAAAGATCGAATTGAAAATTAATAGTTATTTATTAAATCAAGATATGTTTAGACAAGTTAATAATTATTAAGCATTCTGTTGATTTAATTTTCATCGTCCATTAATTAACCTCTCCTGTTTTAAGTATACGCTATTAATGAATATTCTGTAATATTCCTAAGATGGCAATAAACTGAAATGGCAGAATATTGTATCAATTGTAAAGGGCAATAAACCTTTTACTGAATATATTCTCTAACAGAGAATAACAAGCATTTTATCAAATATGCTAAACTACATTATACATTAACATCTGAATTTTGATTTTGTATTCTAATGTTAAATGTAAAAAAAAAAACTCACTAAAGAACTTGGTATATTTAGTAGTTATAAATTGATTTTTTTTTGTTCGATAGAATCGACTGTTTGAAGTATCTTAAAGCTGAAGAAATACAGAAAAGAAATATTTAGTAAACGTGACTTGAAACTGGGAGAAGAAAAACTGTATGGTAAGAATACTCAGTGCCTGGTCTTCTTTTCTTTTTGATTTTATGCTGTCTATCAATGTTCTACGACTTTTTTCATAGAAATCTAACATATAAAATTGAATTTTATCTATAAAAAAAATTAATTAATTAATTTTGAAAATAGTATTAAAGGCTTAAAATAAAAAAAACGTTATTCGAGTCCCAAATTATATTAAATTTCTAACAATGCAAACACAATTGAATTTTACACGCTACCGTGATTTTTTTTTTGTTTAAGAAAAGGATCATTTCTTAACTTACTTTACATTGTTAACCTTTAATAGAATTAATTTTAACACGAAAGTAAATGTTTGGGGCTCTTGAAATCTTACTGAATCATTCTAACTCCAAGGGTTGTTAATGAAAAATCGTTACAGCTTGCAGTTTAAAGTAAATTTTCCATAAATTAATTAAAATGTATACTGAATGTATANTAAATGTATTTGATAGAAACAAATATTTTCTTTTGGAAAAAATAAAAAAATTTTCTTAATATTCTTGAATAAAATGGGAATAAATGTATTTGATAGAAACAAATATTTTCTTTTGGAAAAAAGAAAAAATGGTGCTTTATATAAACCGATAACACTGGATCAGGTTATATAATATTGTTATAAATAACACTTTACAATAGTTATCGTCTTGAATTGTTATAAATAACATACTTTGTAACAGTTATTACGTTACCGTGTCGTAAATTACGTATTTTACAATCGTTATTATGTCATATTATTTTAAATATTAGACTTTACGTCAGTTATTACGTAATGTTGTTACTTATAACATATTATACACATCAAATTTTATATTATTTTAAATGAAAAACGATAGATTTTGCTTATTTCTTATTTATAACATCAGTCACGTTATATTATATAGAACTTTACTGAACTTACGTATGATATAAATATTACATAACACGTCTATAAATATCGTATTATTTAATTATAAAATATAAATTATGATTATGATACGTTTATTGTTAACGTTTATCTTTTAATATAATTTATTACATAACAACAAAATGTTTATTTATAATAAAATTTAAGAAATTTACATTAAATTTAATAGAATAATACAAAGAAGTTAAGAGAATTTCATCGGTTAAAACGAAACTGAATCGAAGAAAAAATATATATATATATATAGGTTGAACATTAAAAGAGATATTTATATTTTACTTAACTGGATTTATTTAGTTATATCTGGACAATATATATTTATCATTTTGTGATCTCTTGAATTTAAAGTATTTAAATAAAACCAAAACTTTTATTATTACGATAACAATTCTCATATCATTTATCTTGGAGAAGACAAAAAATGTTTCTCTCTGCTGTATCACAATCTCGAATCTGTCCTAAACTCAACACAGCAATGAAAATAGTTTCCTTCCCTGATTTTATAGCATTTTTACGACTTTGCCTTCAACAAAACTCGAATTTACTATTATTCGAAATTCTTTGACCTAGGTGTTGAATTTTTTTTTTTTTTCTTCCATAGAGAAATCCTTATATATTTGTTTATAGTTGAGGACTTTTACACATAAATCTCATCCTCTTTTCGTTATTATCGTACTCTTGAGATAAATAAATCCTTTATAAATTTAATAACAACTAATACATTTGAATATTTGAATATTTTATATGAATAATTTATTATTTTCTATCATTTTTAAAATAAATATTTTACGAAGAAAAATTATTTAAGATTTTAGAACAAATATTTATATTTTACAATTGAATGTGTACAAACTCATATAAAAAGTTTTACTTGTTCAAAAACTTTTTTTTGCTCTTCTTACAAAGATGAAAATTTGTTATCTAAAATAAGAAAAAAAGGCGCATATATATATATATATTTATTTATTTATTTTAAGAACATCTATGGTACGTTATTTATGAGGAACCAATATGTTTCCAAGATGGCGCCTATAAGTACAATACATGTTCTGACTTCTTTAAATGACATCATATTTCAACTGTACTTCTTCCAAGACATTGAGCACATAGTAGGACATGAATGTAGCCTACATAAATTTAAAAATAGAGTAGAAATTTTTTGACAACATCTATAGCTGTCTTCCCATTACAAACCAAGGAAAAAAAATAATAATAAATTAGTATATCTTATTAAGAAAAATTTTATATATACATGCGTATAAATATATATATATATCAATTTAATTAAATTAAATAACTTATATTTATATAATGTATTCAATTCGAGTAAGTATATTAAAAGGATGAAGAAAGTTGGATGAGAGAAAAACTATTTTATTGAATTTTTTATATTGAAATATTTTAAACAATTGCTGGATTCTTTCCAGATTTAAAAGGGAAAAAAAATGTTAAAAAATTCTATCTTATAATAACGTAAAACGAAATAGCAAAATACACATTTAATGTACCGTATTCAGTTGTTATAAGAATAAGTTTTAAGGTACAGTACTATACAGGAGATTTGAAATATTTCCTTTCAGAAACATACTATTAAATCTTGTATATTTAAAGATTTAGGTCACAAAAAACTGCTCTAAAAATGTTTTTTAAATATATATTTTTCTTATAAAAGAAGAAGAAGAAGAAGAAGAAAAAGTGTATATATAGTAAAGGGATTTACTAAAATAGAAGTGAGAAGATACAAGATTGGCATAATGGAATTATCATTATTTATTCTCCAATTAAATTATCACGACCGCTAAATAATAGTATTAGTAAGTATTTAAATGTAATTTATCATTTGTATTTAAGAAACGTAGCAATTATAGAAAATCCTTTTATTCCTCATTGTCTCGATTAGCATGATTCAACCTTAAGGATTTGTTGTTCTCAATAGTTTGATGAACGTTGCCTCTTTTTTTACTAGATCGATAGCAACAATTAGTTCTTTCTTGTTCAAACTTTATCTTCATTTTTTGAAGTGGCTTTATGTTGTCAACGAGTAGAAGCTCTTCAGATAAGAACACTTGCCATAGATTTCTATCTTCTACAATATTGACAGAATGTTGTCATTTTTGCAAACTTCTCTTATAAAAATCAAAATAATTAATTAATTTTAATAATTAATTAAAAGTTTGTAGTAAAAACTTTTACAGAAGTACAAGTATTTTTACTTATTATATAAAGGAGAGGTGAAAAAAAAATGAATAGACGTAAAAGAAATAAAGAAACTCTTGAATTTTTGAAATTATCCATCTGGGAATTCATACAAATGAAAAATACCAAGAAGAATACGATTTATGAATTATATTTCTTTATAAAGTGTATCATTTTCCTCTGATATATTCTCTTACACTTTATGTTTTTTTCGAGTGAATAAACTAAAAATGGTAGCTCTTGTTTTCCATGAATGCATTAAATTATAAAGTTCTCCTTTCTGTTTGTTCAATTTAATTAAAAAAAAAGTGTTTAATATCTCACATACGCGATAATAAAAAATGATATATTTGTAACATTTAATGCATTTAACTTAAATTTTATTTCCACTTTTCTAATTTAACTTTCGTCTTCAATATTTTTTTATACAAATTACATTAGTAGAAAGAATTTACTTCGTGTCTTATATGTTGTATTGAATGATTTATCATTTAGATTTTAGAATAAATAATATACATATAAATAACTACAAATTATTTAAAAAGAAAGAAAGGAAAAGTAGAAGGTTTGATCAATAAAACGTCGAGTAAAAAGAAATCAATTTTGCCATTACTTAAATGTTATCTAATGGTAAATAATTCATTTCTCGAGTCAATGATATATTTTCTTCACTCCTTTCAATTATTGATGCAAATGGATGAAAATAACCATTTCGCATCCTTACATGCATTATTTAATACATTTTAAATCATTTTTTTATGATAAGTTCTTCTGTTTCTTCTCTTAATGATGCGGTTTTCTTAGTTTTCTAAAGTTGATGCGCTTATTAATAATATTAAATTATCTCATAAAATGACTATTATATATATATATATATTCTGATATAATGTTAAATTGTTATTCTGTACATATATCAAAGAAATTATCGAGTTTGAAAAAGTAATAATAAAACTGTCAAGTAATATGACGAAATTCTTGCAAGTTTCTGAAAGAATTGCTACTTCTGGTTATTCTTATTCTTATTGTATACGACCACATTTTTTGCTCAATTATAGGAAGTTTTTGTATAATATAGAGAGAACCACAAAATTTTTAGATGTAAACGTCCAGTTATAAGAATTTATGTTTTAAAGATAAGCAAAATTTAAGAGATTCGTCTGGTAGTTTATATGATTTATATTTATTTCAATCTATATTTTCTGATAAGCTTAACTTTATGAGTTTCTATATATATATATATATATATATATAGAAACTCATAAAGTTAAGCTTATCAGAAAATATAGATTGAAATAAATATAAATCATATAAACTACCAGACGAATCTCTTAAATTTTGCTTATCTTTAAAACATAAATTCTTATAACTGGACGTTTACATCTAAAAATTTTGTGG